AAGAAAAAATAGCGCTCAATTTTTGATCAGACACAAAGAAGAACCTTTTTGACTGAGTAGGACTGATACTGACAGTTATATCCCCCGGGAGATATTAAGTAATTAAACAGTCTTGATGTTATCATCATTATAAAGTCGTAGCGAAATAGAAAAGCCAAATTGGCTCGATATTGATCAAGCTTGAAAACTCTAGTCAAAAAAGAGTTTCTAAAGATAACTTTTCAATTTAGAGATACATGGATTGATATAAAATAGCGATTAAGTTGTTGGATAGTTGCACCACTATCCGTCAATTAGAGCGCCAATAAATGAAAGGTAAGTGCTAATGCTTTTATTACCACGTTAAATAATATATAACGTTTTTTTTTACCGCAGGAACGTAATAGTTACCTGACCATGACGAGCGGTGTCATAACAACACTTATTTTCCTGGTTGTCTCCATCGTTGTAAGAGCCTCCCCCACCCCCACAGGAATCACGAATATCAGCTCCACTGCCTCCCCCAGCGTACCCTCCTCCTCCTCCTCCTCCCCTATATCCCTCAGCTCCACCACCTCCACCAAACCCACCAACAACATTGTTACGCTTGGCTCTTCCGCCCACCCCTCCCTGAATAAATCCCTTACCACCCTCCCCACCCCACCCGTAGATTCCATTAAAATTCTTTCCACTTCTTCCACTTGAGTAAAACCCTCCGCCACCACCACCAACTGAAAAAAAAAAACAACATATTTTAAGGTTTTAACTAGCAAAAGCGAGTCTATCTTTTTCATTTCGATTTTTGGAATTTTTCATCGTATTTTCAAAACTCTCTAATGTAATCATATCAGCCCGGCCAAACCCTCATGTAATGCATTTAAATTGAGCCGCTATCCGTGAGGTTTGATGTTTGTTTACATGTTCTATTATACGTGGTTGTATGAACTGTTTTGTCTTGCTCTCTCTCTCCAAGATATTATGAGTTGATTTAAGACGTTATCTAAAGCCATATTGCAAGATTATGGCTGGTGAGGATTTGAGCCGTACAGCCTCGCGCGCGCCATGCCATTAAAAACTAAAGTGAAAGATGACGTGTGTAGAGTCGGACGGGTTGATGAATTGTGAGCTCGAGTGTCTTTTTCTGACACGAAAAAAACAAAGTAAAAGTTTTTCCTGTAGGATCTTTATCGTGATTGTTCAGCGTGCGCACGTGCATTGCATCCAGTTTGGGTTGAAACCAAATTTTCGAAGTGGTCATATGCCAGATAAAATGCTTGTTAACTAAGTTTGGTCGGGCTGGACGGGAAAATATTTTCCACTCTCTCGCCAACACCGAATTGAGGAGGCGGCGTGACTCTGTGGTTAGGGTGCTGGACTTGTAATCTGGCGTCCGAGTTCAAGTCCTCCACTCTGCCACTCACTGGATTTGTTTTCGGTTGCCCCTGGTTCAACTCCTCGGCTGTGCTCCGTAAATAGCCCACTAGCTGGTCTGCCTCCTGCCAGTGGGGGTTTTTATGCACTTAGTTAGCTTACATTGTGGCTGAAAAGCCCCTAAGGGGGAGCTTCAATTTACGTATTTATTTTTTTATTTTACTAACACCGCTACTGCGACTCGTCTTTACAATAAATATGACCTATACGACTTTTGATCACGAGCTTGCCGATCAAATTTTATAAGACACATTACATTCCCTGAAATTACGTGGCATTCTGAATCTCGCGGAAACCGTGGAGGAAAAAGACGCTTTAATTTTAACAACACCAAAGCTTATCGGATACTTGTGGTAATCACTCAGAAACAACCAAACACTAAGACTAAGCATGTACAGCGATACCGCTGCTTGATCCCGATCACCAGACAATCGACCTCATCTACATCTGTCTGAACTAATTTTTGTAGATATATCTTTTCAGAATGCAGACACCAAACCTCTTTTGGATATGCAAGAGTATTCTTCAGAATTCCATATATCAAGATTTGGTTATCATAGGGGATTTTAATTTACCTAGAATAGACTGGATCGATGTTAGAGCCACATGCGACTCGGTTAACAATTCTCTCCTAATTGACATTATCCAAGATAGCTTATTTACACAACTGGATAATGAGACAATTAACCGGTTGATTATGAGCAAATATGCATAAGATTATGAAAAAGGTTGCGTTCTTTTTATGCTGATGTTGTCTAGTGAGTCATGCCGTAGATGGTCTCGTGGTACCGCCACAATCATAGTAACTTTCCCTGCTACGAAGGAGTGGTTGGATCAAATCCGCAGCGCGAAAGTAAATTTTTCGTTTTGTTTAACCGCCCGTAACCACCCAATTGTCTCGCGCGAGGACGCTTTCCCCCCTACCTCCCTTACTGAGCAGAATTTCCTCTACAGTTTGGAAACCAATAAACCAATCAGAATTCTTCCTTCGTGCAGATATTTCGATGGTTTTAGGGGGTACTATAGGGGCATCACTCTGCGTTCATACTGAATGATCAAATTTGAAAATATGGAGTCCGCGCGGCCGAACTTTAAAATTTTCAAGTCGGATTTTTCGTTCCTATGCGATCGAGTTAGACCTTGTAGAGCTCAGAATATAAAGTAGCAATGCTGTAGAATACTCTACTTGGAAAATACCGGATATCAAAGTCTTAAGGTGACAGAATAAGCTCTCGAGTCAACGACAGTACGATTCTCTAAAGCGATGCGGGCGTAAATTGGAAACCGAACTTCGGACTTGAAGCTGGGCGTAGCGACAAAGATTATGTTCGGTAAAGATTATGTTCGAGTAACAATGTGTTAAAAAAAGTGTAGTTTAATAGAGGATTTTGTTTTAAATCGTAGTTTTTTCAGAATTTTCAACATACGCTACGCAATTTTCTGGCCATGAAGTCAAGTAAACAACGATCTAAGCACAATGAACTTTACCGCGCGGGCTTTGTACACGTAAGAAATTCGTACGTTTTTCGCTTACAACAGCAAATCAAGAACTG